CATTGTTGGAATGAGCAAAAAGGGGGAAATAATTTTAAGATTATGGTGTGGCGCTGTGGATTAATGCGCCAGACAGCAAAGCCGTTTGAACAGTGAAGTCGGTGGTTCAAGCTCACCAGCCACTCGTTGGAAACCCTATACAGGGTCATTGTGGGTTTGAACTGACTTGATGGCACTTAACAACAACAATGTTAAGATGCTTAGCTGTCTTTTGAATCTTGGTTTCCCTTGCATACCATTATAAAATAGACACTTGAGGGGGAGAGAAAGGAATAGCCAGAAATACCACCATAGAAAGCTTGTAAGTAAGTCTGTCTTCTGCCTATAACTGATTGGAATACCTAAAATGGGGCTGCAACATGTCCAGTGAAGTAGGCTTCCTGCGGAGCTTCTGCATTACATAAGACCATAGGTAGACAATCCTGAACCCCATCCAGAATCTTCTGATGAGGGAAATTTCCACTTGAAAGGACAAGCAGACCAGCCTGGAGTGGCTAGAAGAACAGAAGATACTTCTTGAAAGAAAGACCAAAAGGAAAACTACAAAACAATAACAGCAGTCCAACTGACTACTGCAAGAACAAGCAAGTAGCTTGCCCTGCAGACATCAAGACAAGTGGTCGGTTCCCCTCAGAGTAAACCCCCTTCCAAGACTAAGACTCAATGGGAATACACGAGCAGACATGTGCTCTGACTGGTAACCATGCTGGTCACCGATGGGGGGAAGTGAAGGAAAAACAGCAATGAAGCTGCGAACTAAGTCCACCACGTTCAATAGATTCCTGTGAACCTGGGTGGAGACCTGGTTGGCCAGCAGTTTGGCAAGGCCTAAGATCTAGAGTGGAGAATGAAGCATCCAGCTGATAAGACAAGAGGGCATAGGCACAAAAACACCCACACTTGCAGATGATACTCACTTGACCTGGCTCCACTGGCTTGATGATCAGTGCTTAACTAGAAAAAGAAAGAAGAGGGAAAAAAGAATAATCTAATATAATTTGATGAACTTGACCTACACTTATGGATGTAGTAGCTGAAAAGAGGAAACAAATCTTTACAGCAAGGATCATTCCCAAACTCTCAATACACAGGGTAGACAGGGATGGGCAACTTTAACATTGGCTACCCAAAATGGGAGGGGCTACAAAGGCAAGAAGTGACTGGCTTACAATCTTTGAGGGAGCCTAGATCCAGAGGGTGCAGAGGAAGGAAGAATCTCCACTGAGTAGTATCCAATCTGTCTGGGCAAGACTGATGCAAGGAGATGGCGATAGCACTCATGTGGTACAATGTTGTTGTTTTGTTGTTGTTGTTAGGTCCATCGAGTCGGTACCAACTCATAGCAACCTTATGGACAGCTGAACAAAAAGCTGCCTGATCCTGGGCCAACATCACTACTGTTGCCACGCTTGAGTCCATTGATGCTGCTGCCACTTGGCCAATCCATCTCGTTGGGGGGGGTCTTCCTCTTTTTCTCTGACCCTCCACCTTACCAAACATGATATCCTTCTCCAGTGACTGATCCCTCCTGACAATATCTCCAAAGTATGAGAGACGAAGTTTGGCTCTTCTGGCCTCCAAGGAGCACTAGGGCTTGCACTTCTTCCAAAACAGATTTATTGGTTCTTTTGGCAGTCCATGGCACTTTCAATATTCTCCTCCAACTCCATAACTCAAAAGCATCAATTCTTCTACAGTCTTCCTTATTCACTGTCCAGCTTTCGCATGCATATGAGGTTATTGAAAATACCATGGCTTGGGTCAGGCCCACCTTAGTCCTCAAGCTGATGTCTTTGTTCTTCAACACTTCAAAAAGGTCTTGTGCAGCAGATGTGCCTAATGCAATATGTCATTTGATTTGTTGACGGCTGCTTCCATGAGTGTTGATAGTTGATCCAAGAAGAATGAAATCAAATCCTTGACAACTTCAGTCTTTTCTCCGTTGATAAGAATGTTGTTTATTGGTCCATTGGTGAGGATTTTTGTTTTCTTTACATTGAGATGTAATCCATACCGAAGGCTGTGCTCTTTGACCTTCCTCAGTAAATGTTTTAAGTCTTCATCATTTTCAGCAAGCAAGGTTGTATCATCTGCATATCACAGGTTGTTAATGAGTCTTCCTCCAATCCTGATGCCACAGTACAATAGTGAATAATTAATATCAGGACTGCTTGTGAGGGTTGGAAATGTAAAGGTAGACATTTTGTAGCAAAAGGAAGGAAGTGGTTGACTTTAGCGGCCAGGAGCAGAGGCACCTGGAACCCTCAAGGGACAAGGGCAGAGTGCGGGATCCTACCCAAGAAACAGTGATGCCAGAGATGGAGGCAGAGATGATCATGTGGAGAGAGGGGGTGGCTGGGAACTCTAGACCCAGAGAGGGAGAGGGGCTGTATGCTGATGACCAGGGGGAAGGTTTTCGGGGTGTACCCTTTGGTTGGTTGATGATGCATGGAGGGGATTGTAACCAACGCAAGGTAACAACATACGATAGGATGAATGTAAAGCTAGTGTTCTCCCATGTAAACTATCACATAATTCATAATAAAACAGTTTAAAAAAGGGTGGTGGCAGGGAAAGGAATGACTTAGCTGGCAGGTGCCATTTGCCCTTCCCTTTTCTTTCTTCCTGTCTAGAACAAGGGTGTGATGGCTGTAGTGGAGGCAGCCATATTGTAACTCTGAGGTAACCCTGAGAATGGTATACCAATAAGATTAAAGAAGACTACAACCAGACCCAATCTGCCTTCTCTGGATTTATTTTTAATGTTAAAAGAAAACAAAACCCTACTTGTTTCAGTCATTATTGTTTTCTATTGTTCTTGTTGTTAAGTGCCATTGAGTCAGTTCCAACCTATAGCGATCCTGTATAGGGTTTCCTAGGAGCAGCTGGTAAGTTTGAACTGCTGACCTTGAGGTCCAAACCGACTTTGCAGTCCAGTGCATTAACTCACAGCGCCATACCAGGCAGGGCTCCAATGTTCTCTATTATTGGAAGCCAAATACATTTCCAATTGAAACACATGTACACAGTCAATCAAGAAGGCCCCTACCCCCAAGATGTAAGGCAAGACCTACCAAGTATTTAAAGTGAAAGAAGGAGCAATAACAGAGTATTGATCCCAGAGGCACAAAGAGAAATTCCAACTCAGAAACTGCAATTAAAATAATGGAGAGGGGAACATCCCAAACCAAATCACCGGTTTCACAGACTAGAGAGGTGCTTTGTTGTGACCCAGAGGACTGATTTCAGAGCTACAAATTGAGTAAAGGCTTCAGGCATGTATTTTATAAAAATCATACTTTAAAAAATGTAGCCTCTGGGCAAAACTAGGAAAAACGAGGATGGCAGCAGAGAGAGAGTTCAAGAGAGGTTTCTTCAATTTTAAGAATGCAAAAGCTTCAGGGAATGAGTGCAAATCACTGGAGCATGATTCTCATTATTACTAATGGTTCTTAATAACCAAGAGGCAATGTTTGGTCTCCAGTTGGCTGAGATGATCAGAAATTGTTCATTGCAGTTATACTAATAACTAGATATAATTTGGCACTAAATACAATTCCAGATTTCCTGCTTTCTGAGCAGTCTCTTATTTGCAAAGGAAACCGAATCCTGAACATCAACAACGAGAATAATCTAATTAAGTATCTCTCCCTTACGGAACTATTTAGAATTGAAAGTTTAGCAGGATAGTGAGGTAGAGCAAAATAATTCAGTATTTACTGATTCAAAAAATAGGGGATTTTATTATAACACCTATTTTTTAAAAAAGTAATTGTTCGATGTATCTGAATAGATTTGGCCATTTATGTAGTGCTCCTAATGACTGTAAATTCTTTTCAGATGTGAGACACAATTTCTTGCAAGCAGATTTACTTGTAATTTAATATAAAATATCAGTAATTTTTTTTTTTATACTCAGTGTCTGTGAAGCATATTCTTAGCCATTTTTACCATACATAATAAATCACCTATAAGCTGGGAATTGTAAATATGACGGAGTGATAAAAATGTTTATCTTCTTTTTAGCTACATTTAATGAAGATTTAATTATAACCTACACTAGTATTACTATTAACATACTCTGCAGAATGCTGTCACATTGGAAACTCCCTCCATATTGTAAGGGGAACAATACTTGCCTTCAGGTGCAAACATATAAAGGAGGAAATTCACCAACAGATGAACTAGGGCCTCGCCACGGATCCAGTGACTATGCTTGGAGTGACCCATTAGCAGAGTGTCTGCCCAAAATTGACTTATGGTGACCTCATGAGTGTCAGGGTAGAACTATGCTCCATAGGGTTTTCAGTAGCTGATTCTTCAGAACTAGATTACCAGGTCTTTATTCTGAGGTGCCTCTGGGGGTACATGACCCACCAACCTTTCAGTAAATAGTGGAGTGTACTAACTACTACTGTTGTTGTTGTTAGTTGCTGACAAGTCAACCCCTGACTTATGGCAAGTTCATGCACAACAAGGTCAAACTGTTGTAATCATAAGGTTTCGCTGGCTGATGTGCTGGAATTAGACTGTCTAGTCTGTCTTAGTCTGGAAGTTCTGCTGAAAACTGTTCAGCATCAGAGCAACACAAATGCCTCTGTGGAGAGATAGGTGGGGTTGGGAATCAAACCGGGCTCTCTGCATGACAGGTAAATTCTACCACTACACTACTGCAGGGTGTAGGTATTTAACAAATGTTAGATGAATGGATGAATGATTTAAGATTCTTCAGAGAAGGTATTCCTAGAAGTATGTCTCCTAGAATTAGCCTGGGCTAGTTCCTTCAGGCTGAATGTCTGTAGGGAATGTAGTGGCATATCTAGTACTGAAATCAAGTACAATTCATTCTCCAGGAAAAGCCTCTTTGCCCATTCCTTGACAAGAACATCTTTGGTGATTCTTAGTTACTATTAAGTCATGGGTCGAATGGATAGCACAAGCGGCCATGACCTCTCAGAGAACTGATAAGACAGTGTTTAAGATATTTAAAGGGTACTTACTGCTAGCGGAGGACATGTGGCTGTAGTCAGACCTGAAACACAAAACCTCAGTGTTAGGATGATTGTGCACTGCTTTTCTTTATCCAATAATATATTCAAGTTAGAATTGTAAACCATCTTTAACTGATAACGAAATGTCACAAATTACTGTAGTGCTAAGGTTTGTTTGGAGTCCTGGTGTGGCACTGTGGGTTAATGTGCCAGACTGCAAAGCCATCTGAACTACAAGGTCGGTGGTTCAAGCTCATCAACTGCTCCTCGGAAACCCTATACAGGGCTGCTATGGGTCAGAACCTACTCGATAGCACAGTAACAATAACAACAAGATTTGTTTTGTGCAAAGTGAAGTTTTATCAGAATTCAAAAGCAAAATTTTATTGGCTGCTCCTCCAAAAGTTAAACACAGACTTAACAGCTAACCCAGAAATTCTATTACTAAGTATATGTCCCAAAGAATAAACAATAGGAATTCAAAAAATACTTGTACATCAATGTTTACAGTAACATTATCCATAACAGCCAAAAGGTAGAAAAGACCCCAATGCCCATCAACAGATGAATGTATAAGCAAAATATGCTCTGTGTGTCTATATGGCAGGACATTGTTCAGCCACAAACAGAATTGAAATACCAATGCATGACCCAATGCAAAAAATCTTGAAAGCATTCTGCGGAGTGAAAGAAACCAGGCACAAAAAATCACATACTGTATGATTACACTTATAGAGAAAATTCACATGGAGAGCTGATTGGTGAGACGAGGCACAGGGAAGAACTACTTAATGGGCACAAGAGTCTCCTTTGGGGGTAACGAAATGTTTTGGTGATGGCTGCACATCATTGTGAATATGCTAAATACCATTGAATTTTATACTTCAATAGTTTATTTGAGGTTGTTATGGAGCCCTGGTGTGGTGCTGTATAAGTTAAGGCGCTAAACTGCAAAGTCGGTTTGAAACACAAGTAGGCGGTTCAAGTTCATCTCCCTCCTTGGAAACGATACAGGGTCACTATGGTTTGGAACTGACTCAACGGCACTTAACAGCACCAATGTGAATTTTACCTCGTTTTAAAAAATGTTTTTAAAAAAGTAAAACTTAAGAGGTATTGTAGAAAACAGAGATTCTTTATATGGTCTCAGTGAATCCCCCAGATGGGACTCCGGGGGTCCCTAACCATCTAAACTTACTAGAAAAATTTGGAATGGATACTTATTTTTCCAGGGAGAAGCTCCACTATTTTTGATAAGATATTCAAAGGGGTTCACAACTCCCTAAAGAGTTAAAAAAAAAAAAAAAAAAAGCAGTTGCTTTCAAGTCAACTCCATCTTGTGATGAGCCCACATGTGTCAGAGAGGAATTGTGCTCCATGGAGTCTTCAGACCTTTCTTCTGAAGCACTCCTGGGTAGACTCGAACTTCCAACCTTTTGGCTGGCATGTTAACTACTCAGGGTCTTATGGTTACAACACGTGGGATTTCCAAGACTGTACATCTTTATGCGACTAGACAGCCTCATCTTTCTCCCATGGAGCAGCTGGTGTGTCCTGGTGTGGCATTGCCAGTTAATGCGCTGGAATGCAAAGTCGGTTTGAACCACAAGGTCAATGGTTCAAGCTCACCAGCTGCTTCTCTGAAACCCTATATAGGGCCGCTATGAGTTGGAATCTACTCCATCTGTGTAGTGGGTTTGACCTTGCAGTTAGCAGCCCAATGCCTAACCCAGAGCACCATCCGGGCTCCTTATTGTTGTGGTTGTTGTTGTTACGCGTCCTCGAGTCGGTTCTGACTCATAGTGACCCTGTATAGAGTTTTAGAGAAGCAGCTGGTTAAACCACTGCAAATGGAAGCTCGGCCACAAATGCTAATGCCACAGCCCGGGGCAATGTCGCTGTGCTTTTCCAGCAGTGACAGGAGCAGGGGACCTCAGCTGTGAGAGCTCCACTTCAAGAAAAGGCTGACAATCAGAAAATACAGAGGTGCAGATCTGTGAAGGACCCTTGTGGATATCAGGAAAACAGGATGTAGGCTGTGAAAGGAAAAGGGAAAAGGCAATGCGAGCAGCAAGGGTGGAGTCCCAGGGTGGGGCAAATGGTTAAGCACTAAACTCTAACCAAAAGGTTGCCGGTTCCAACCTACCCAGAGGCACCTTGAAAAAATAGACCTGACAGTCTGCTTCCAATAGGCTGTTGCTGTTGTTAAGTGCCTCTGAGTTGCTTCCAACTATAGTGACCCTATGTAGGGTTTGAACCACCAACCTTGTGGTTACCAGTCCAGAGCTTATCCTATGCCGCTATACCTTGAAAACCTTATCAAGCAGCTCTACTCTGCACATATAGAGTTTCTCAGAGTTGGAACTGACTCAACAGCAACTTCCACCAAGGGGCAGACTGAAATTATCCATTCTACTTCTCTGCTGAAAAGTCAGCGTCTGGCACTCGGCCTCTGTGAGAACGGGGTTTGGCCAAGAATGTGCCCTGTTTACTCTACCAAGTTTCAGCCCTCCTTCTCTGGCTAAGCAGTCAATAGGGAAGCCTCTGGTTTTCTCCTCAGTGTCCAGAAGTCATTCTCAGGAGGAAATCCCTCTCTTCCACACACAGGGATTTATTCTGCCAAGGTGGGAGTTAGGGGACATAGTTATATAACAGAGAGGTTAATTACGCTCAACTGTGTAGATAGCTCTCCTTTTATTTACTTTGTCTCATGCTGCCTTCCTCCAATCATCCAATTTTTACTCCATTGTGTCTTGTGCCACATTTTTAAAAAAGTATATACAAAATGTTTTTTTTAAATCGCAAAATTCTAACTAGTTAAAATGCCCAACCGTTTTCACACAGACAGCTGTACTGATTTATATTATCGGTGGTAGAACAGAAAAGAAGAAAAACAGTCACTGACTTGCTCTTTCAAATGAACCACTGAGCAGTCAGAGAATCACTGAACTCTAACGTGGACATGAATCACCACTAGCATTTGTGTATCCCTTAATACGTTACAAGTGCATGCATGTCTCTCTAACCACACTTGTTAGTGCATTGATTAGAAAATGGAAGCCATACTGTATGTAAGGGGACCAGTAGGTGGGGAAGGGAAGCGCAGTGTGGGGGCATGAAAATCATCAGCAAGTAGATGAACTGGGAGGGGAAGGGCCCGTAGCATTCTGAAAACCAGCATTTAAAACCCTGGTGTTGCTGCATTCAATTATTTCTGGAACCAGCCAGGACATAACTTCTGAGCAATTCTGTGAAACTATATAAATGCAGTGAATGGCCAACCAAGGTCTATAAGAGTAGACGTAATGACAGAAGAGTTCCATTACAATATGGTCATTTTAAGATGGTCTTCTGTTAAAAGATATTCCGTGACTCTTCAAATGAAACAGATAATAAAGATATATGGTGATAGGACTATTTTTAATAATAAAATGCCAGCATGCTTAGCTAGGCTGTTCCAAACACTCCAGAAGCAGATGGAATTCACATATGCATACATTTTGGAGATCTGCATGCAGATGGATATGCATACAGAACAATTTTACATTTGAAATATGTTTTAAGAATCATAAAATGCAATGGTTGTATGTCAGAATAGGCACCAGTGTGACTACCACCCCATCTCTAGTGGTGCTGCCCCTGCCCAGCCTGTCCACTGCCATCTCCTGACCAGCACTCTCGCCCTGTTCCAACCCCTTCCCCACACAGAAATCTTTGCTAAACACACATCTCTGGTCCCGTTGCCTATGAAAAGCTGACCACTGGAGCACAAAAGCTTGCATGGCTTTCTAGTCTGAGCTTATCGAAAACATTAAAAAAACAATATAAACCTGGTGTCTGTGAGTTCAGTCAGTTCCCACTCATAGCGACCTCATGTGTCTATGCAGCTTGTGCGTAGTTGCCACAAGGACATACATAAGAACTGGAAAAGCTGTTACATGGCCCTGCTAATGCTAATTATAATTGTAAGGAAGGCTACGCACTGTAATTTATTCATGCCTTTTGTTGGCTATAGGATTGTTCCTGACTGTTCACTTTTATAAAGCACAGACTGTGATGAGATACTCACTTGCTTTTACTTAGAAAAATGACCTTGAGTGGGATAATGCATTGAGTCAAGGTATGAACATTTTGAGAGCTCGTAGGGTATATTCCAAGGAGCTCTGGTAGCACAGTGGTTACGAATTGGGCTGCGAACCTTAAGGTCAGCAGTTCAAAACAACGAGCTGCTCTGCGGGAGAAAGATTAGGCTTTCTGCTCCCTTAAAGATTTACTGCCTTGGAAACCCTGTACAGGGTTGCTATGGGTCGGAACTGACTTGACGGCACTTAACAACAACAACAGGATATATTCCAAATAACCCTACAAGATAATTTGCTAGAGATCTTGTCAGTGAAAAACAAACTGACAACAATGTTGTGCATAAAGAGGATCAAATCATTTCAGAGAATCATCAGTTATCTGATTTAGAAGGGGGAAGGAATGGGTAGCTCCCTTCAGAATCCTCTTAATTGGTCTCCATGTCACAATAATGATCCAGCTGCCTCTATATGATACAGTCGTCCCAAGGAAAGGTGAATCCACGACTAGGTTTAGGATACAAAATTTACGGACACATGGTAAAGGTGGACAGAATAATTACAAGGATGATATAATCCCACATACTTGACACATATACTAACCATGCTCGGATTTCCACATATTACACGTAGTATAAGGAAGACCGCAGAAGAACTGATGCTTTTGAGTTATGGTGTTGGAGGAAAATATTGAAAGTGCCATGGACTGTCAACAGAACAAATAGAATCGTTTTGGAAGAAGTGCAGCCAGAGTGCTCCTTGGAGACCAAGATGGCCAAACTTCATTTCATCTCTCATACTTGGGACATAGTGTCAGGAAGGAGGGACCAGTCGCTGGAGAAGGACATCATGTTTGGTAAGGTGGAGGGTCAGAAAAAAAGAAGAAGACCCCCAATGAGATGGATTGGCCAAGTGGCAGCATCGATGGACCCAAGCGTGGCAACAGTAGTGAGGTTGGCCCA